GAATTAGGAGCTTTTGGGAATTCGAGCCTGTACAGGTCAGGGACAAAGTCTACCCTAACCAAAGGGCACAAGTCCAGCAACTGGTAGTCTCCTTCTCAACTCTGCCAGGTGGGACTCACTTAATACAGCACCACATTCAAACAGAGCCAGGGCAATGAGTTTGGGAAAACCCTTTCCCTCTTCTCCTGAAAAACATGAGCTCCATGCCATGCTAGCGCAGAGCTTTATCAAAGAATCCTGCAGTGAGTGGCACAGCACTATTGTGTTAGTTTCCATATCAGATGTGACCACTAGATTTTGTATCAATTTTTGGAAAGTAAATCTTGCCATTTACAAATTTGTACATGAACTACTAGACCAGTTGGGGAAGCCAGATATATCACTACACTGGACCTGACCAAAGAGTACTGGCGGATTCTGCTCATACTGGAATCCTGCAAGAAGGCAGCTATCACCAGGCCATATGGTTTATACCATTTTCAAATTATGCCTTTTAGCCTGCCTGGGGCACCCACTACATTCCAACCGCGACTGGACTAAGATCTCCAGACCTAGGGCACATATGATGCTGCTTACTTAGATGACGTCATTGTGATGCTGGCAGGTCAGATGCCAGCTCTTGACAAGGCTGCAGGCATTAGCTAAGAACTGACAAACTCATAGCTGGAGACCCAACCACTTCACTTATGTGTTAGTGTTGCTCAAAATAGTCTTATAAGAATGTATTTAGTGTTCAGACTTTATAGAATGTTTGTAGGTTGCTCTATGCATTCATCTTATTTGTAATGTCTGCATTCCATGCTAAAAGGAAATATGTAAGTTTTGCTTCATAACTTTGTTTGCTCTAAACTTGTGACCTCAGATGGGAAGAGTGTTTTCCCCTATGCCTCCAGAAGAACTATCCAAATCAGATGGGCCATCAAGGAACATCACAATAAAAAGGATTGGTGAATGGCCCTATCACATCTTGGAAATCCTTTGTGAAAGGAAGTTCCTCCTATGGACTTGGAGACTGAATGAAGGAAATAAAACAAAGACACAGGAAAATGTTCCATCTGTTTGTTGTTTGCACTGTCACAGGCCTTGAGATGCCAAACTGAAGCCAGAGACCGCCAAAGGTTACCTCTGGGTCTGCCATGGAAGACACTTTGAATTGACAGATCACTACAGCTCTGTCACTCTTAGGATTTAGATTGCAACTCATTTGTGTCTATGTTTGCTTGTTTTAGCCTGTAAATAACTCTCCTTTCTTTTTCATAGTTAATAAACCTTTAGATACTTTATTACAGGACTGGCTACAGGCATTGTCTTTGGTGTAAGATCTAAGGTACCAGTAGATCTAGGGTAAGTGACTGGTCTTGTGGGACTGGAAGCAATCTGAACATTGTGGGTTTTTTGGTTTGGGGTTTTTTTTTTGGTGTAAGTGACCATTTATCACTGTGTCCAGCTTGCCTGAGTGGCAAGATAGACTGGACAGTCTAAGTGGACTGTCTATAATCCCATGGTGAGACTGTTGTAGTGATCCAAGGCTTCACACATTTGTCACTGGGTTGTGATGAAATCTAATTATAGAATTTACCCGCAGTTTGGGTTGTCTGCCCTGTTTTTGACAGTCTGCCCTGAGGTAGTCACACCCTGTCATGAGCCACTCCAGACAGCGTGAAAGTCATCATTTATAGCTGAGATTGGGAGACCCACCTTGTTCATGTATCAGCTCTGGTCCCTGGAGGAGGCAGGGCTGATGGTGAACCCAGCCAAATGCAAAACTGGAAAGGAGGAAACTATTTACTTTGTACACACTGCAGAGAAGGGCTAAGACCCGCCCTGATAGACAAGATGCAGGCCTTGACAGTCTGTCCTGCCCCAACGATGAAAAAATAGGAGCAAAGTTTCCTGGGGCTTGCAGGGTATTATCAACAGTTTGTGTCAAGATTTTTAACAATAGCAGCCCCCTCATGGACCAGATCAAAGAAAGCTCCCCGAGCAAGGTCTGCTGGTCCGATGCCTCTGAAAGAGCTTTCCAGTCATTAAAGAAGTGCTTGTGTGAGGAATTGGTCCTGTATAGTCCAGATTTCTTGAAGACATTTAACTTGCAAACCGATACTTCAGATGTCAGATCGGAGGCAGTGTTGTTCCAAGAAGTCCAGTCAGAAGAACGTCCAGAGCTATATATTAGCTGCAAGTTCTTTCACAGGGATTTGGCCCCTTCTGCTATTGAGAAAGAAGGCTTGGCTGTAAAATGTACAATGGATGACATCGTTATTACCTCCTTGGGAACTCATTCAGCCTGGTTATGCATCAGACCCCCTTAAGATGGATAAAGTTTATGAAAGAAATACACCCCCAATTAATGATGTGGTACCTAGCCCTTCAACCAAGTGCTTTTCAGGTTCAGCATAAAGCAGGGAAAGCACCCCTGAATGTTGACTTCTTCTCCCATGGGACTAGGGGTTGGAGGGTGAACAGTCGACATCTATGTCCAGTCCCTTGGGAACTGGCTTGAGAGAGAGGGTGTGTGATGGGGTATATGTGTGGGGAACTCTCTCAATAAACTCTGTGGACTTTTGCACCCTATTCAAATCTTCCCTGTAGTTTGTCTTGGGTCCTGAAAAACATGTGGTCATACGCCTCACAATTCCATCCTAAACTCTCTCCAATCCTTGTGTTTCACTGAAATTGCTCTCACCTAAGTCTCTAATAATGACGTCTTCCTAGCTAAAGTTCAGAACCTGTACCCCTTTCTCATATTCCTTGATCTGTCATCTGTCTTGGACACAGTCAATTATGTTCTTCTTTATTTTAAATCTTGCCCTACTTTGGCTTCCTGCGTCTCTCCCCATTCCTGGTTCTCCTCCAACCTCTCTAATCACTTCTTTAGAGTGTCCTTTGGAGGATCCTCCTCATCTGCCTTCCAGCTTTCTGTGGGGTGCCCCAATGCTCGACCCTTGTTCCCCTTCTCTTCACCCTTTACACCTTATCTCTGGGTAATCTCATCTGCAAACACAAATTCAACTACCATCTCCATGGTGATGACTTACAGATCTACCTCACTACTCCACACCTGTCTCCTTCTGTCTAAGCAAAAATATTGGCTTGTCTCTGACATTTACTTGCAGATGTCTAGCTGACAGCTCAAGCTAAACATGGCTAAAACAGAGCTCTTAATTCCCCCCCGCAACGCGCCCCACTGCCTGCTTTTGTGATCACTTTAGACAATATCACCATTCAGCCTGTCACTCAGGCCTGTAACCTGGGCAGCATATTCAGCTGGGAACTCTTGCTAGGCCCTCACATCCAGGATATGTTTAAATTTTGCTGATTCTTTCTGCATAAGATGTCCACACTGTAAAGTGAAGGTGTGATTTTTAGTATGGGTAAGCAGACCAGTACCAGCTTTTATCTAGCAAGACTGGGTAATGATAGCAGTGCAGCTGTATTGGCATGGATTTCAGCACAGGCAAGAAGCCAGAGTATAAGCCCTCCAGGGACCTTGGGTAAGTACTCTGATTGGTAGCCTGTGCTGAAACCTGTGCCACCATGTCTACACTGGCATTATTATCCATTCTAGCTAGATTAAAGCAAACATGTGCCCATGCTACAATCACACCTGCACATGTCAGTATCATACCCTAAGATACGGCCTTTCCTATTCATCCACATAGCTAAAACTCTTGTTCCGAAACTCTTCATCATGCATATTAATTTCGGTCACACCCTTCTCTTTGGCAGTGACAAATGCAGTCTTGTCCCATTCATATCCACTCAGAAAGCTGCTGCAAAGATTATTTTCCTAACCTGTTGCTTCACCCATGTCAGCTCTCCCTCTGAATCCCTCCATTGTCACCTCCTTCTTTATCACATCAAACATAAGCTGCTTGTATTCATTCTTCTCACTCAGTCCCTACTCTACCTAACATCTCTCATTCTCCATCAAGCTCTCGCTGCTCTCTTCCAATTGGCCAATGATGTCAACCTCCACTGCCCTAAATTTTCAAACAAACATCTTAGTGCTTTCTGCTATGCTGCCCCACATGCTTGCGAGGCAGGCACTCTCTGTAAACATCCGCCAAGCTACTTCACTAGCCACCTTCAAATCCCTCCTCAAAAGTCTCCTTTGCTGAAACCTACATAAAGCTTGACAGTTATCAGGCTGCTAGCGTGCAGAGACCACCACCTGTCATGCTGACTGATATTGACTGCCCTCTCTGTCTGTATCTATATGTTGTCCCTTGTCTTATACCTACAGTTTGGGGCAGGGAAGATCTTTTTGTTCTGTGTTTGTACTATGTGGCTCTTGGTCCATGACAATGGCTCCAAGATGCTACAGTACCACTCCTGGGTGTTTTCTGATATAGTAAAGGATAGCATTTTGATAAAGAATAACCTGGAGGCAGGTTCTTCCCTACAGTAGAGAGAGACATTGTCTACAAGATCGGGAGGTGGCAGATGTATTAAAAACTATGCAAAAAAAAAAAATCTTGTAAAGCTGTAGCTCCTTTCCTTTGCCTCTTCCTGCATTCTAGTGCCCTTCAGCTCCCTTCACATTCCTGTCCTCCTTGCCCCTCACTCCTCTGAAGAGCTGCTGTCCTATCCCTCACAGTACTATCCTTACAGATGCTACAGAAAGGACCAGTATGATGACCCAATCTGACCTCTTGAAGAACACAGGCCATAGAATTTCAGCAGTAATTCTTGCATAAGGGTGTTATGTAAGACCACGCATTATGTGGTAGCCATGCAACACCTAAAAATATTACAAGATGAGTTAAGAACAGGTTTTAATTTCTTACCCTGTTTTTTGGGGGGTTTAAATCAGACCATTAATGTTATCAGTGTATTCTTCTTGTTCTTGTATTTTTCATTTTTTTTTATTTTGTTAGAGATAGGATCAAGCCAAACAGTGTTTATCCAGATTGAGATTTCAAACACCCGAAGGGTTGGGGGTGCTTGTAGCTGGGGTTTAGGATTGAGACACTTGCTATTTATTATTATTTATTTAGATAGCAGCCACCTGAGCAACTGTACTGTGAAATACACAAGCTGGGCTGAGAAGCCTACAGAACTGATCCTGGTAATCCTTACTCAGGTGAGTAGTCCTTACTTACTTGAGTATCTCTAAGGAAGTAAATGAAATTACTCACAAGTAAAAGTTTCCAAGGTCCGGCCCTAAAGGCACAATGGGTACAGAGACAGAACAACGCAATATGGAACAAATGGATAATGGAGTGTGGTCATTAGAGTTGGTATGTTTCATGGCATAGATGGATTTTTCACAGTAGTATTAAAAAAGAAAGCTCTCATTGAAATCTAAAAGAGTTGGCTACTTTTTTTCAAAACAGACCCTAGCGCTTGTGGGCACTGCTTTGCATCAACAGATCACAAGCTTTTTATTTAATTGTATGTGATGCAGGGAGAAGCATTAAGGACAAACAATATTCCATCACATCAAATCAATTTTAAACTAACAAACCACGATTCTGGCTGAAAACTGATGCTAATGGAGGGCCTGATGCTGCAAATACTGAGAACCTATTGCCAGGTATGGATCACTTTTGACTCTCATGGACTACAGTGGGAATAGCGGGTCATGCTCCACCGTTTTTAGAAAAAGCTCAGGACCCCACAGGATCAGCCCCTGCCCTCTTTTCCTCCTGCGACCAAACTTTTACTTTAGTCAAGGATAAAGCCTTCAGTTTTAGGCCCTGATTCAGCAAGTGCTTAACATTAAGCACAGGCTTAGCTTACTCCTGTGCTTAGGTGTAAGAGCAGTCCTGGATAGGGAAGGAATTAAGCATATTTAGATGACAACCTGGGGCTCTGGTTGTTTTAATCTGATCTTGTGCCCAAGTATCATTTAGGAAGGAAAATTATGTCTATTTTTGTTTCACTGTTGGAATGAACATAAATAAATCTGACAGAAGAAATCATTAATAAAAATAGTTCTTCATATAAATTATCGTTTAAACAGATTTTTTAAAATGAGAGTTAATCTCATTTTCAGTTTTTTCTCTTGCTAAAATCCAGAAGGATAAACTAACAAATGCACGTGCAGTCCCAGTTACCAGGGCTACAAATGATGGCCATTTTCTCCCACAATCATAGAAACAAGACTACAACAAACAGAAATTACCTGTAATTTTCTTATTCCCATAATTCACTTCACACTTCCATGGCTAAAGATGAATAAAGGAAAATAGGATTCATATTTCCGTGAAAAGGTGTTAAAACCTGTGCTCACTCAGACCTTAAATGAAAGCTGTCTCTTACCATAAATGTGAAAAATTAAAATAAAATCTTTGCTAAAATCGGGAGAAATGCTTAAGACCTTTTCAGTCTATTTGAGTGGAAATGTAACTTGCCATTCCACAAATGGATGTTACACTCTTTTAAAACATAAAATTCCTTTTAAAGGGCATTCTGTTTTTTGTGTGTTGATACCAGTCTCACTTTGGAGCACGGTAAAGTACTCTGGATCTTAAAAAAATCTTATCTTAGAAAAAGGTAACTTATAGTCCTAGCTTCTTCGTGAACATCCTGTTTCAGAGCCAGGGATGGCCCTTATGCACAAGCAAGTGCACAATCAAGGACCTGCTCATTTGGGGATCCAAATCCCATGCAAGCTCTACAGCTATTTGGCCAGCACTGTTTCCCTTCAGGTATGTCTATGCTGCAGCTGGGAGTGTGCTTCCCAGCGCAGACAGACATATGTCTGTCTCAAGCAGAGCTAGCACACTAAAAATAATGTAGCTGGGAGGTGGTGGCTCAGACAAGCTGCCCAAGTACCTATACAGCAGATCCAGACAGGTTTTTACCCAAGCAGCTAGCCTGAGCCGCTGCCCATGCTACCCCTAGCTACTCTTCTATTTTTAGCATACCGTAGAACCTCAGGGTTATGAACACCAGAGTTACGAACTGACCAGTCAGCCACACACCTCATTTGGAACCAGAGGTACGCAATCAGGCGGCAGCAGAGACCAAAAGAAAGAAAGAAAGAAATACAGTACAGCAGTGGTTCTCAAAGCCGGTTCACCGCTTATGCAGGGAAAGCCCCTGGCGCGCCAGACCGGTTTGTTTAGCTGCCGCGTCCGCAGGTTCAACCGATCACAGCTCTCACTGGCCGTGGTTTGCCGCTTCAGGCCAATGGGCGCTGCGGGCAGTGGTGCAGGCTGAGGGATGTGCTGGCCGCCCTTCCTGCAGCCCCCATTGGCCTGGAGCGGTGAACCACGGCCAGTGGGAGCTGTGATCGGCCGAACCGGCGGACACGGCAGGTAAACAAACCAGTCCGGCGCGTCAGGGGCTTTCCCTGCATAAGCGGCGGACCGGCTTTGAGAACCACTGCAGTACAGCACTGTGTTAAATGTAAACTACTAAAAGAATAAAGGGAAGGCAGCATTTTTCTTCTGCATAGTAAAGTTTCAAAGCTGTATTAAGTCAATGTTCAGTTGTAAACTTTTGAAAGAACAACCATAACGTTTAGTCCAGAGTTACGACAACCTCCATTCCCGAAGTGTTCATAGCTCTAAGGTTCTACAGTACTCATGCCTGACTGCTCGCGCTGGTAAGCATGCTCCAAGCTGCAGTGTAGACTTAACCTTACTGGTACTGAAGAGGAAAGAAACAATACATTGACAGACACCTGTAAGCAGTGCAGAACTACAGCGTGAAGCAACTCATGGCCTGATGCGTCTGCCTCTGACACGTCCAAAAGTTTGTAAGTAAGCTCTTAATGGTGTTCCAGAAAATATAAGGCTAGCCCTCTATGGAGCACAGTGCTGCAAGATATTCATCACACTGCATTCTTAATGCTACACTGAGCTCTCTTCCTTCTCCCTCCAAGCAGTGAGCCCAAGCTGTAGATGTGAAGGCGGTTCCACTTTCTAATTAGGCAAAGCATGCCTACAGCATTTTGCTTCTATAAAATACCTTTGATAAAAGAAGTATTCACTGAATGTCTGCTGGAGGAACCACAAGATTCAGTGGAAAGATTCCCGTTGAGTTCAGTGGGCTTTAGATCAGGCCCAGAACGAAGAGAATTCCTTTATGATTCCTGTGTAATTATTATATAGCTAGTTGAATACATTTTCAGTGGAACGGTTTTTCATTGAAAAATGTAATTTAGTTGAAGTTGCAACATTTCATGGGAACATGTTGATTTCCACAAAATTTTCTATGGGAAAAAGTAAAAAAAAAAAAAAGGTTTGATATTGTCAAATAATTTCATTTGCACTTTTATATTAAAATCTTGATTTAAATATTAAATTATATTTGTATATAATATTTACTTGTAGGTGTATAAATATATATATTTAATATGTTATATAATATACATGTAAAACAAAAATTATTCAAAACAATAACATGAAACATTTCAACACGTCCCAACTAATGTTTTAAAATTTTCATTTCACTGCAATTTTGGCTTTTCATTATGATTTGGAATGATTTTTTTTTAAATGTCAGAATTTCTCATGGAAGAGAAATTCCAGTTCCTGATAACTCTAAAAACCCTACCATTATGTAGACAGTGGGATGGCATTGCTTAGTTACCAATCAAATGAGTACACCACTCTATAAATGATGGCACCCGAAACATATTTTTGTTAAAATATCAACAATGTTGGTTAAAAAAATATCATTTTAACTAGAGTGGCCACATTGAAAAGTCTTTATGACACAAAAAAATCAATAAAAGACACCATTATGTCTGTAAAACTAAAATAATAAGGAAGAAATAAGGGTAAAAAATCATGGCCATTGGTTTCCCAAGTACTATTGCTGGGTATTGGGCAGATATCCGAAGGAAGAGAAGAAGAAGCATCTGCAATGTCTGTTGTAGCTTGGCATGCTTGTAACACCTTCTCCCCACATTCCCATCCCTGCAGTGGGGAAGGACCGGAGGATTTTTGTACCAGCCCCACTTGAAATGTATTCAAAATCTAACAGTAAATTTAAACTTTAAATGGAATCCTAACTGCTTTTCTTGTTAACCAGAGAGTTTAAGAACAGTAAATAGGGAGATAATATTTTTAAAAAATGTCAGTTCTCTCAAGTCTTCCTTTGCTGGATAAAGTCTTTTAATTAAATTACTTTTAATGTAAGTTTCTCCAAAGATAAAAGGTATTAAGGGCTTGATCCTTCAAGCTCCTTAAAGCTGCTGACAAGAAATGTAATGAACCAAAGCACTAGAACTTTGCACACTGGGTGAAATCCTGTCTCAGTGAAGTCAGTGGGAGTTTTGCCATTCACTTCAGTGGGGCCAGGATTTAACCCTCAGTCTTTGCTAAGTACCCATGCCAGTAGGCTTTAAAACATTGTGGAGAATTTATGCTGTACTTAACAATGTGAGCAAATCCATCACTGAGGAGAGCACTGCTGAAGGGAGCGGAGTTGGCAAGGCTGGGTACAGCCCGTGCCTGGCCAGGACGTAATCTGCTTTAATGCAATCCAGTGAATGCACAAAAATATGTGAAGAGCCAATTTTAGGATTTTCAGTTTCTCCCACTGACAGCCACTGCTTGACAACTATTTGACTGTGCTTAAGAGCTGCACTTAGACAAAACTTAGAGCAGGGGTAGTCATCATAAGCCATTGCCAGGCATGCTTCCAATGGAACATTGTTTCTCCTGTATAGCTGCTCTGTGCTTCATGTCTTGTACAGCACACAGAGTTCTTGAAACAGTCTGTCTCCTTCGTTTACCACACTTTTTTTAATCATGTACAAAAAAAGCACCACCCTCAGCAATCTTACTGATGGCTCAGTATTTTTCTCTCACAAACCTTCTACTTACAAGACTGAGACCTTAAAATCTGTAGGGTTCTGAACTTGCATCACACGCTCTTAAAGAGTAAGCGTAAGCAAAACTAGTTCCAATTTCAATTATTCAAATCCTTAGTTACTACAGTTGCTGTCTTTGTTTTGTCAAAGTCAGCTTATGTTTTCCTTTCCAGATAGAAAAGGCTTCCTATAATGGGCTAAGAAAGGAGAAATTGTTAATTACTTATTCTCCTTTTCAGTTAACGGTGATTCACCGAGGCTAAGGCCAAATTTTCGTCTTGCCAACTAAAAGCATTCTTTGCTTGGTCCACTCTTATTTCAGTGCTCAAAGTCTTCTGTGTTTGGTGGTTATGTCCCAGGTTCTTCCTTAAAGAAGACGCTGTGACATATGGGTGAAACCCTGCTAGACTGTGTGTGAGCTGCAGCCATAAAGGCTATTCAGCACACAGAGGCACATGTCATTGTGTTTGCAGATTTCACCTCTGTTTTGTTTTGCTGATTTATGAATCATGGAGTTATGACTCCTTCTTGGAATTACTTTTCACAGCTAGTCACATTCTGATAGGCTCAAGGCTATTAGGGATCTTTCACATGCAGATGAAAGTGGTGACTGACAGTTTTGTGCTACATATTAAAAAATGTGCACATAAACGTACATGCATTTCTGCATATACTTCTTTGAAGTGGACCCACTTTTGGAGCAAAGGCAATAGAGAAATGAAGCTAATACCAAGAGTTACGTGGAAAGTATGCGTGGGGAAATCAACAATTTTCACAAAACATTTCCCCAGCTTTTGTTGAATTTTCATTTACTCATTTTCTGACCAGCACCTTGACTATAGGGTTGCCAACTGCCTAATCGCACAAACCCGAACACCCTTGCCCGGCCCCCTGCCCCGGCCTTCCCCGAGGCCATGCCTCTTACTTTCCCCTTCTCCTAGGCCCCTCCCCCCTCTCACTCCATCCCCCCTCCCTTGCTCTCATTCATTGAATAGATCATTCATTGCCTCACTCACTTTCACCAGACTGGGGGCAGGGCATTGGGGTGCAGGAGGGGGTGCGGGCTCTAGGAAGGAGTTTGGGTGTGGAAGGGGGTGCTGAGTGCAGTCTCTGGGAGGGAGTTTGGGTGCGGGAGGGTGCGGGATGCGGGCTCTGGGAGGGAGTTTGGGTTCAGGAGGGATTGCAGGGAGCAGGCTCTGGGAGGGAGTCTAGTGCAGGAGGAGGTGTGGCGTGCGGGCTCTGGGAGGGAGTTTGGGTGCGGGGTGTGGGGTCTGGGCTGGGGCAGGGAGTTGGGGTGCAAAGAGGGTGAGGGGTCAGCACTTATCTTGGGCAGATTCCAAAAGTGACCAGCACATCCCTCTGGCAGTGGCTCCTAGGTGGGGGGGAGGAGAGGGGGTCTCTGCATGCTGCTGCCCCTGCCCTCAGGCACCTCTCCCACAGCTCCCATTGGCCTCAGTTCCCAGCCAATGGGAGCTGCAGAGTCAGAACTCGGGGTAGGGGCAGTGTGTGGAGACCCCGTGCTCCCCTCTCCCAGGAGCCAGAGGGGATTCCTTCCTGCTGCTTCCTGCTTGCTTTCAGTGCTGGCTGCTTCCAGGAATGGTGTGTAGCCAAGGCAGGTAGGGAGCCTGCCTTAGCCCCTCTGCGTGCCAGACTGTCAGTGCCTAAACTCTCCCGGTTTGGCTGCAGTAGCCTCTGGGAGATAGAGCATGATTCTGATAGACTCATGGCGAAACTAGGAGAGTTGGCAACCCTATTTGAATAACGGAGTCTGAAATAATTGAATAACTAAAATAAAATAATGGATCTATCTCAGAATGGGTTTAGCTTCAGGAGCTACACTTGACCAAGATCTTTTGCAGATACTTGGATTGGGCACTGTCTTACGCATTCATTGCCACACTGGAATGTATTTTTCTAATAGAAGACATTTTCATAATGCAGTGGGTGGGAGTAACGACTTTGCTTGTCTAAGCAACATGACCCACAATCTGTACATTGGTGTTTACTGGCTACTACGTCACTGGCTATAAGCAAAAGGTTTGGAATAAAACATACCCCTGAATAACAGGCTAAGCACAAAATAACTTTTTAATGTATTTGGAACAGAATAAAGACACATGGGGAAGAGTTGAAGCACGTTCACTCTAAAAGGAGAACAGAATATGCTGGGAGCACAGAAGAATTCCTCTGTAATAAGAGTAAGTGTTGTACAAGCTAGACCCAAAAGAGCATGGATTGCATTTATAACTAGCCCTTCAGTGAAAATGTAGTTGGCCCTTGTGCAGTCTGAGAAAGTGGAGATTTCTTGGACGCTCCGACCCTGATCATCCATGTAAAACCAGCCACAATGTGATTCTTTGTGTTAAATCAAAAAGAAAAGGAGTACTTGTGGCACCTTAGAGACTAACCAATTTATCTGAGCATAAGCTTTCGTGAGCTACAGCTCACTTCATCGGATGCATCCAATGAAGTGAACTGTAGCTCATGGACGCTTATGCTCAAATAAATTGGTTAGTCTCTAAGGTGCCACAACTACTCCTTTTCTTTTTGCGAATACAGACTAACACGGCAGCTACTCTGAAACCTGTGTTAAATCAGTGGTTCTCAAACTTTTGTACTGGTGACCCCTTTCAAATAGCAAGCCTCTTAGTGCAACCCCTTCCTTATAAATTAAAAGCATTTTTTAAGATATTTAACACCATTATAAATGCTGGAGGCAAAGCGGGGTTTGGGGTGGAGGCTGACAGCTTGGGATCCCTCATGTAATAGCCTCATGACCCCCTGAGGGGTTCCCATCCCCGGTTTAAGAACCCCTGTGTTAAATATTAAACTCACATCTAACATTTGTATATTTCATTATTCATACAAAAGCTGGGAATAAAAGAAAATCATTGTGTATTAATATAACACAATGTATACACGTATAAATAAAATATCATCCTTTCAGTGTATAATGTGCAACAGAAGCATTTAAAATGAAGTAACAATTATATTCAAATCACAGTGATATTTTCCTAGTGATTCAAAACAAAAGTTCATCCTTACGAATATTAATCACTGAAAAGGCTCAACAGGGGTCTGAAAAACAATACAAACTTTTAGGGCTAGATCCACAAAGGGATTTAGGGACTTGTCACTTCAGACACCTAACTCTACAATTTAGATTCTTAAAACTCCTGCTCAGTTGCTGCCTAACTCTATGAATTGGGCCAACAAATGTGCAAGAGCAACTCTGTAACCAAATGGCTAGGGCACTCACCTAGCAGATGGGTGACTCAGGTGCCAGTCTGCCTGGCTCCCTTTCCTAGTTAATTATTGATATGCAGTGGAACAGCTTCAACAGGACAGCTTCCTTCCCTAGAGCAGTCTGTAGGCCAGTGATTAGGGCACTCTCCTGAGGGGTGGGAGAGCCAAGTTCAATTCCCTACATTAGTCAGGCAGAAGAGAGAAGTTGAATCTAGGTCTCCCAGGGTGATTGGTCTAATGGCTACGCTAAAGGCTATTAGGTCATCTCTCCTCAGTATTTTGTGAGAAAGTGCTTAGGCACCTACCTCCTGCAGAGGGTTCACAGCTGTGAATCCTGAACAGAGATAGATGCCTCCCTCTAGCCTGGACATAGGTGCCTAACTTCCTTTGGAGGGTGGGGCTTTGGCCACACCCAGGGTGACCAGATGTCCCGATTTTATACGGACAGTCCCAATTTTGGGGGCTTTTTCTTATATAGGCACCTATTACCCCCTATCCTCTGTCCTGGTTTTTTACACTTGCTATCTGGTCACCCTAGCCACACCCTCTCTTTGGCATTTCCTTCTGTCTATCTTAGGTGGGTCTCCACGCAGCTTGCTGGCTTCTGTAAACCCCTTTTATGGACCTAACTCTCCCTATGCATCGTACAGGAAGCCTGTGTGCATAATTGGAGCTGAGGTGTCTACTCAGCTGCAGGGCACCTAAACTTCAGGTGTTACAACACTGAGTCTAAGTTCCCTTTGGGGATTTAGCTCTTACTGTTGAAAAAATTTAAAAGGTTAAGGGCCTTATCCATAGCTCATTGGAAAGACCTCAACTAACTGCAATGAGCTTTGGATCAGGCCCCAGGTAGGCTCTCTCTGCCATGTGGCCTTGAGGGAAAACTGCAGAGAGTAGCTAGCCAGAGACGCCCAATAGTAGGAGCAGAAGCAGCCAAAGCAGGGACTGCTGTACTAGGGGTGAAGGGGTAAAATGCGGCCCAGCTAGGGGCCCCCCATCTCCCAAGCACTGCCAAGGCCCAGAACTGTGACGGGGACACCCCTCCCCCACATACGGCAGGCACTAGGACCAGTGGCATGCTGTGGCATTTTTAGTGAGGAATGCAACAGGGCTGGGACAGGGGTAGGGTTACCAGGTGTCCGGTTTTCGACCGGAACACCTAGTCGAAAAGGGACCTTGGCGGCTCCAGTTTGCACTGTTGACTGGGCTGTTAAAAGTCGCTCCTTACCTGTCCTGCCAGTCCTTCCCTACCTATCCTGGCATCGCACTGGGCCCCGGAAGCGACCAGCAGGTCCGGCTCCTAGGCGGGGAGGCCACGGGGCTCCATGCACTGCCCTTGCCCCGAGCACCGGCTCTGCACTCCCATTGGCTGGCAACCGCGACCAATGGGAGCTGGGGTGGTGGTGCCCGTGGGCGAGAGCAGTGCACGGAGCCTCCTGCTGGCTGCTTCCGGGGCACAGCACAGTGCCAGGACAGGTAGGGAGCTGCCTTAGCCTCGCTGCGCTGCTGACCAGGAGCTGCCTGAGGTAAGCCCATGCCCCTACCCTGAGCCCCAACCTCCTGGTCCAGCACTGAGTCCCCCCCAAATCCGGAATCCGCTCCTGAACCCTGAATCCCTCATCCCTGGCCCCACCCCAGAGCCCGCACCCCCAGCCCAGAGCCCTCACCCCTGCCTCAACCCACAGCCCCCTCCTGCCTTCTGAATCCCTTGGCCACACCCCCCAGCCTGCAACTTCCTCCAGCACCCCAAACCCCTCATCCCCCGCCCCACCCCAGAGCCTGCACCCAGCCCAGAGCCCTCATCCCCTCCCACACCCCAACCCCCTGCCTCAACCCATAGCCCCCTCCCACATTCTGAATCCCTTGGCCCCACTCCCAGCCTGGCGCCCCTTTCTGCATGCCATACTCCTCATCCCCAGTCCAGAACCTGCACCCCCAGCTGGAGCCCTCACCCCCTCCCACACCCTAACCCCCTGCCCCAGCCCAGTGAAAGTGAGTGAGGGTGGGGGAGAGCAAGCCACTGAGGGAGGGGGAATGTAGTGAGCAGAGGCGGGGCCTTGGGGAAGGGGTGGGGCAGGGCTAGAGTGTTTGGTTTTGTGCGATTAGAAAGTTGGCAAGCCTAGACGGGCATTTACCTGGGAGCCAGTTCATTCACTCCTCCCCTCTCTGTAGCAGAGTCTTGATGGGCTTCTCTTCCAGACACACTGGGCAGTTCAGCGCCAACAGCAGTATGAAGTCTCCTGCTATCAGCTCAGAGGAAGACTCAGGCAGCAGTTCAAAGTCTACTTTGATGCTTCCCCTTGAGGAAAAAGGGGGGCTGGGGCAGGGCACAGCAGGTGGCATCCCAGCGCTGCCCCAGGCCTGTTGATCGCCACACAATACATGTGCCTTCATGGGGGTGGTGGCGGCTACTGCCTAGCCCCTCCTCAGGGATGCCATGCCAGCCCCAATGGAGACTTGAGGGTGGCTCCTCGCTCCCCTCCAGACTCCCTGGGGCCCCAGTGGGAAATGGCTCCTGCTTCCTGCTGCCAGGCTGTGGGTCCTGTGACTGGCAGCCTCCTGATTGGGTTCCCAGGTCCCGCCGGCCAGGATCAGTGCCTGAGTTATGGCTCTTTCCCATCCAGCCACCTCCAGCCTCGCTTGTGCTTTTGGGTCCAAAGTCCCACTCTGCAACCCAACGGATGATTCAGGTCTAAACTTGCACGCCTCAACTACTTTTTCCAATACAGCCTGTCAGGAAGTCAGCTGCCTACAGAGTCATGTTGCCTAGGCAACATGGTACAACTTGGAGCATTGTATGCCCTGCCAGCAAAACAAGAAGACACCTGACATGAACAGATTGCTGACATGCAGGGCTTTCATATTCTTGTAGAATATAACTTTTGTTTTGGATTCTGGGGCATGCAATGCATGCATTGAATACCTAGACAGCATTCCACACTAGGACACTTGCCTCCCCACCCTACCATGTGGGCTTGAGTAGGAGCAAAGTGCAGGGAGGAGTCAGCCCGGGACTCCAACTATCATAGGAGCAGCTGCAGAAGCAGCAAAAGCAGGGACCTTGTGACATTCAGAGAAGTTTCTACAGTTTCAGCTGAACTTCTCTGCTCTGTGCTAATTGGCGGCTTGCTCCAACCCTCTCCCTCCCTCTCAGTCTCTTCACTTCAGTTTAGGGTGACCGTGCATTCTGGTTTTTTAAGCCCTGTCCTGGCTGTCCCGACTTTTTGGAAAAAAAGTGAGCATTTATCCTGTTTGCCGTTGCCGACTTGATCAGTTGGCAAGAGCAAATGGGACAAATGCTCATTTTTGTCAAAAAAGTGGAGTGCAGAGGCAAGGCTGTCCTTACCCATACGTAAAGTACGCAGCTGCGTAGGGCACCAGGAAATTTGGGGCACCAAATTTCCTGGTGCCCTGCGCATCTGCATGCTGCTCCACCCCTGCTCCAGCTCTTCCCCGCCCCTGCTCCGCCCCAGCCCCTCCCCTTCCCTGCCCCTGCTCCGCCCCAGCCTTGCCCCCACTCCCTATAGCTCTGCAGCAGGGTCAGGCCTGCACTCACCGGCGGCGGGAAGTTCAGCGACCCAGCTCCAGCTGCGCCACCGGTGAGTGCTGGGGGGTGGATCCCCCCTGCCCCTCCATCCTGCGGAGGCCTGGGGCCTGCCCCCCCGCAGACCCCTGGGGCCTCCCACACCCTCCCCTTGCGGGGGGGGTGTGGTTGCATAGGGCCCCAGAACAGATAGGGATGGCCCTGTGCAGAGGAACGTGTAGGGGGCAAGCAGCAATGCCAGGGGGGAATCAGGGTTTGTGCAGGGGGGCAGGTAGGGTTCCAGCGACAGCCTCTTGCAGGGGGCAGGCAGGGTTTGAGCCACCAGTGACCCAAGCCTTGCATGGAGAGGGGAGGACTTGGGTGAGTGGCTCGGGCCAGCCCCATGGGGGTGGAGGGGGAGGTGGGGGAGAGGAGGTGAGGGCTCAGGCTAGCCCTGCGCAGTGTCCTGTTAGCCCTTTGGGAAATATGGTCATCCTAATTTAGCTTCACTCCACACCTTCCCCTCTTACTGTCTTCTGCCCTGCCCTGTCCCCATCACATCTTTCCCTTCCCATTTAGTTGATCCCCTCCTAAGTAACCCCCGCCCCCCCAAAATATTGAAAACATGACATTTGGAGTCATTACACTGTTCGTTCTGCTGGTGTGTTGTACCCATTCACCTACCCCAGATTTCTTGTCTATTTCATTTGGAAGCTGTTTGTGGCAGGACAGCTGATTACTCACTTTTGCAGAGCCTTTCACAGTAGGTCCCCATTCTTGGTTGGCCTTTAGGCACTACCTTAATAAACATGAATACTACTAGTACTAATACTTTTCAGATACATACAGATCTTTGACTGTGAGTTTGGGGTGTCTATTTTTCTTTAACATTTGATCGCCGTTTATTTTATTTAATAAAAGTCTTTAAAAAACGTATTTTACATATTTCAGATACTCCAAATTTCTGTGAAGTTTCAAAGGAATGCAGAAAGAGGAGAAAGAAGTGCTATTACCGTCAATGTATTTAATTGAATTTATAGAATAATAATTGCAATGCTCAAAATTTCCAGCGCTCTTGTGGCATTCAAATAATTTAAGAATTTGCACAGTATCAAACTTATTTCAAAATATCATATACCAGACTGACATTCATATTTCACTAAATGCCTGTTAACAAACTCCTTCATAAGCCATATGTCTCTCAGCCTACCGCTTACTAAAATGCCCAGGGAAAAAATACTGGCTTTGCTGCTTAATCCTAGAAAATATGAAAGAAGGGTAAAAGGCTTGATGTCTGAAACTGCTATGGGCAGAATTCCAGGGTGCTCATGATGCAGTGTCTTAACAGCAATTGAAATATCAGGCAATTAACACTGAAAGCCTTTTTAATTACGGTGAGTCATGAAAAAAGGAAATATCAGGTAGATATATCTACACAATCACGATATTTACCCTTTGGTTGGAGCTGTGATTTAAGCCTAATCAAGGGGGCCATGTCCAGCACAAATCCAGGCTTTCTCACCCCCCCCCCTTTTTTTTTTTTGGCCCACCTTGATTACCATGCACATTGTAGGGAGAGTGGTCACTTTGGATGAGCTATTACCAGCAGGAGAGTGAGTTTGTGTGTGTATGGGGGGTGGGGGGGGGGGGGTGAGAAAATCTGAATTTGTGCTGGAAATGGCCCACCTTGATTATCATGCACATTGTAGGGAGAGTGGTCACTTTGGATCAGCTATTACCAGCAGGATAGTGAGTTTGTGTGTATGTTTTTTGGAAGGGGGTGAGGGGGTGAGAGAACCTGGATTTGTGCAGGAAATGGCCCAACTTGATTATCATACACATTGTGTAGAGAGTTGTCACTTTGGATGGGCTATCACCAGCAGGAGAGTGAATTTGTGTGTGGGGGGGTGGAGGGTGAGAAAACCTGGATTTGTGCTGGAAATGGCCCAACTTGATGATCACTTTAGATAAGCTATTACCAGCAGGACAGTGGGGTGGGAGGAGGTATTGTTTCATATTCTCTGTGTGTATATAAAGTCTGCTGCAGTTTCCACGGTATGCATCCGATGAAGTGAGCTGTAGCTCACGAAAGCTCATGCTCAAATAAATTGGTTAGTCTCTAAGGTGCCACAGGTACTCCTTTTCTTTTTGCGAATACAGACTAACACGGCTGTTACTCTGAAACACACACAAAGGTTACACACTTTCTGTAGCCCATAACACACTCCACGGTGTACCTTTGTCAGTCTATAAATGTGTTTCTTGAGTGTTCATCAACAACTTTCATATGAAGTCTGCGACAGTCATCTTATGCTCAACATCCCTGCTGTGCCTCATGCCTCCACAGATCCAAGGTGTGCAAATATTGACTGACCTGTTTAATAATCTGTGATGAATTGTTGCTTACATGTTAGCTGAGGAGGGTAGCTGAGTATTTTCTAGAATTGGGGATGAAAAGAGCAGCTGCTGGTTGTCTTGTTTGTATACTTGTGTTTTTTATCTCTGTAAAAAGTGCTCGGAGACTTGAATTTGTACGAGTCATTATAAATCTAAATAAACACATAAGTGATTCATCAGCCAATGTGATCCTGCTGAATGCAGTTGTCATTCCAGGGCACAGATAGGAGAGTCTTTGAGGCAGGTGTCCGTCCATTTAAGGCTTTGTAGATGAAGGCTGGGACTTTGCATGTGGCCCAGGACTGAATTGCTGACCAATGTAAATTGCAGAGCTCTTGTGTGATATATTCTCATTAGTCTGCTCTGCTTAGCAGGTGTGCTGCTACAGGCTGTACCAGCTGCAGCTTCCTGGTGGCCTTCAGAGTCAGCCCAAGGTACAGCATGTTAAAATGATCTAGCCTGCAGGTGATTTAAAGCATGAGCATGGTTCACTGTGGCTTTCACGTGACGGGAATATACAGTAGTTTCTTGGTTAACCACAGATGAAAATATGCTGTAATACGTATGCACTTTTTAATGTCTTTAAATGCCTGTACTTTACCAATAACAAAAGGACAGACTGAAAAAAGTCAGACCCAATAGGAAATCGTAAACTGCCCTAAGAAATACCAGGGAAATAATATTGTGTAATTAGCAGGAAAGGCAGTGCACTGCATCATTAGCTGTCAACGATGCAGAAATCTTAATTTAGAAGTGTGTGTGATTGCCAAAGAAAAGTAATTGAAGAAATGCCGCACTAGATAGTCTAAAATCATATTTGCAAGCACTGGAAAGTTACAATATCCTTGCGTGTGTTGTTCCATCAGTTACTTTGCATTATGCTCCATAGGTAGGAGTTAGTGTCAGAAATTCCCTTTTACTTGAGCACCATTTCAGCAATCCTAGGTAACAAAACAGATTAGTTTAGCAAAAACTTATTTAAGCTATAACTACTTGGGCAAGAATTAAGATCTAGAACAACCCTGACCCTACTGTGTGTGCTCAGGAGGGGAGAGATCAAGGAATCATCTCCCCCACCCCATCTCTTTAGATGATATACACAAGTGCTCAGGTCAGCACAGGAATCATACACTCCTGTGGGCAAACATTGCCCCAGATAAAAATCCGTTTTACCAATTTAAGTTAAATTGATATAGGGTACTTTTATTCCAAAATATTCTACACACTTTGACTTGTACTGAAATAAAGAAAGGTGTGAATTAAAACCAATTTAGTTGTTATGGTTCCAGTTTGTGTGTACACAAGTCCTTAGACATTTATATCTTTAGAAGGCCCATTTCCCTGATTCTAATTATAAAATAAAAGCCTGTACAACACGGAAACTCTCACTCTTCTTTTAGCCCCAACCGACCAAATTAATTGTGATTACTTCTGGAGCTGGATGATAATTAGAGCTGTGCAAAACTTTTATAGTGAAGGTAGCACACTGAGAGGCAGCATAGTCTAGTGATTATCACACAGGGCTGTGAATCTGAAGACCTAGCTTCTAGTCTCAGCTCTGCCAATGACTAGCTTCATGCCTTGGGCAAGTTATTTAACTTCAGTTTATCTCTCTGTAAAATAGGAATAGCAATATCTAACTACTTACTTTGCAGGGATGCTGTGAGGAGTAATTATCTAACGTTTGCAAAGTGGCCAGTGCATGTTCAGTGCCATATCAGTGCACTCAATGTATGCTTGGTGTTGGGTTTAATTTTAAACCTGAAATTTGGACCGGGATCACCTTAGGTCATAAAAATATTGCTTAGCTTCAGCTGCGTTTTGAGAGAGTCTGTGCCATGGTATGGTTTCATTTGAAGCCATCTGGAAAGTCAGTGGTTTCATGTGATTTTGTTCAGAAGCTAAGGAAACTTTTGAAGTTTTGCCAAGTTCTGCACTGAGGTTTTGCGTTTGTTTAAACCTCAAACTCAAAGTTAAACTTAGGCGGTCGAGACGCACATGAAGCAAAATAACAACAAAAAATTATCATGAGCCAATACAATCACTTATGGCTAGAAACATAAAGAACCCATGAAACTATTAGTAATTAAGAGGTTAGCCCTGTATTATCTGAGAGAGCAGAAGTCCTGAATGCAGTGGAAACAGTGTGGCAAGGATGTGGGAAAGAAGAAGGATGTGGGAAGCTTGACAAGTGGGTCTCCAGGTTGTGGAGCATACCAGAACATCCAAGTCAATGGAGTATACACTAACAACATAAGATACACAGATTAACTCATTTGGATTGCTTCAATTAGGGAAGAACTTCAGAACATGCTTAGTGCTGTGAATAATGCCAGCAAGAAATATGGAATGATGATTAATATTAGGAAGACAAAATGTATGAAATTAAGTAAGCACAATAGTGCACAAAGTAGGAAATATCTATATCTGGACAGTCAAGTGGTGAAACAAGTGAATAGCTCTCCCTATTTAGGGAGTTCAATAACATCAGATGCATGATGGGACCAAGAAATAAAGAGAAAGATACAGCTTGCAAAATAAGCATTGAACAACTTCAAAAGACTTCTATGTTGTCAAAAGTTAATATTACATATACACATTATATTGCTGAAATGGGACATATGGTCAGCACTCTTATACGGATATGAGAGGTGGAAACTTAGAAGGACACCGAGAGATGACTCAGGGCACTTGAGTTTCGGTGTTACAGTAGAATGTTAAATATTTGCAGGCTAACCAAAACTATGAACAATGAGGTGATGAGAAGGATGAATTTTAAAAGAGCACAATTATTTCAGACCTTAGGGAAGAGAACAACATCTTTCTGCAGACACACTGCTCACTGATCACAGAGCAATTTGATCCTAACACTTGTACTGTCAGATAAGATTGCAGGGAAACCAGGAGGAGTAAGAAAGAGAGCCAGCTGCATCAGAAACATCACTAAATGGACTGGTCTCCAAAGAAGATGGAAGTTTTACAACTCTGTTGCAATTGTGAAAGATGGAAGGTGGTTGACAATCTCTGTATTAGAGATCTCACTTGAAAAAGAAGATTGTGGAGCTCTGCTATTTTGGGTTCTGTATGCCTCACTGTGGAGTTGGGTTTTGAGTGCTGGTGGGCCCAAGACTACACAGAACCACTGACCAGACTCATATGCACTAGAGATAGAGTGGGGAACAGCTGATGTGGAAGATATGATTGCCATCTTGGAGTCTGTGGCAGGATTCTAGGCTCTATGGAACATTCCAGAATGCAGCCTTTTCACTTGGTCTATATGTTGAGTCCAGGATTGTATAGTCAATGGATAGATTCTCGTTGACTTCAGTGGAACAGACTGAAGAGAAGAATGTTTTTATTGAAATTACAAGATGAGTCCATTCAAGATTTGTTAGTTATTCCAAGTGCTACACCCGCTTCTTTCATAATGGTTGTCCTTGGCACATGATAAAAAAACAAGTCTTAATTCTTGACATTGTAATGTTATTGTGTAAAGATCAGAATAACACACAAGTGCATGCTTACATTTACCCTTTCAGAGCTACATGAAAAATATGCAGTCTACTGGATTTTTTTAATGTAACCTGATCCAAAAATGTATAATGAAGATTACAGTGCTGACTGGCAGAGCAGACAAGTGTGCTCTCTCCTGGGTCTTTCTTTTAGTGCTGTGGGGTGCAGCTTTATACTATCAGTGATGCTCACTGAGAACTCTACTGGAAGAACCTAATGAAGGATTAGTGCAGTCCCTGATTAGTGTAGCCATGGTCCCTTCTCAACCACTGCCACACACTTTTTGGACTGTGCTGGTCCCCTGTGGTTCCTCACAGTGGAAAGGAGGTTGAAGCTGTTGTCTGCTCTTGCAACCCCTCCCTCTCAGTGGTCTTTCCACTGTCGTGGCTCTTCGCCTGGCCATATGTCAGTTGGAATAAACCTTGTTTGCAAATGAGCTCTCTAAGTCAAGCATATATAAAATCATTATAATCCTATATCAGGAGAAGAAGGATGGTCCAGTGGTTAGAGCACTAACCTTGGACTTTGAAGACCTTTGTTCAATTCTCTGCCCTACCCTACCACAGAATTTCAATGTGATATTGGGCATGCCTCAGCTGCCCGTTTGGAAAATGGCATGTCCCTCCTCACAAGAGGTGTTGTGAGGATAAATACATTAATGATAAGAAGTCACTTTCCTACTCTGCTGAT